ACACAATTTGCCTTTTTGATTCTTTTATTAACTTTGTTTTTGAATAGAAGGTCTTTTATTTACTTTACTAATACTCTGTACTTTACTAATTGGGTAATTGCTTTAATTTTTTTTTGAAGGATTTTCAGTTTACTTATTTGTCATTTTATCCGTTACACCTTTTATTAATTTTATAAATTGTTAGTGGGATGACTCAGTTTGGAGGTAGGGATTAGGGATTTAGGTTTTTTATAAGCATCTTGATATATTAAAATTGTAACCTTTTATTTTGCCTGAACGATGTATTGTAGACATATAATAATCTTTACATGCAATTAAAATAGTGGATTGAATGTGTATTTATAAATGTGTATTAACTTATTTAGTATTCCGTATTTTTTAATATAATCGTACGAGTAAGATTTATGATGGCGGGAAAATATAAACATGATCCGGGATATACAAAGGGATATAACAAATTAAGAAAAAGATTTGGTTATAAAATCGTTTGCCGATTCTATGGATCTGTTATCAGTACGTAATCACAAAATCTTCTCTGTCAAATATTGTTAAGAATGAGTGTACAAATGTCGTGTTTGAGAATTAGTGTGAGGCTGTATTTTTGATCAATTTTGAATTTTTGCTTTAGAAGAATACCTTCATTACGTCAATAGTATATGATGCATTTCATATGTAATTTACTCAATTTAATTGATATTTGGTTTTTTTATTATTATGTCGAAAAATACTTAAACAAAGTGTCTATATAACCGTCTAGCCGTCTAGGGCCTCATATTCCTTTTAGACGGCCCTGTGAAGAAGAGATGTTTACGTTGCAGTGTGAGGATGGAGAAGAGATACGCATGTTCCAGAGCGAAAATAAAAAGATTGAGATTTCTTTCAAAATTAATACAAGGCTAAAAGACTTTCAAACCCCTCAACTTCATAAGTTATATGACCTCATCTTATATTCATCGCACATGAGATCAAAGGGAATGGATGACCCTGATTAGTTTGCACTTTGTAAATTAAGATGAGTTTGTATATGATCCTTAATCCACGCGCGCACGCACGCACGCGCGCACGCCCGCGCGCCCGCGCGCGGGCACGCCCGCGCGCACGCACACATGTATATAGTAGTCTTCATGTCAGGCCTGGCTTAGCGTAGGAGACATCGATGAATCATTTGACTCGCCTCCAATGGAATGGCAATTGCAAGCTGCTCCCACACCATACATTTCTCCATCTTCCATATGACCATACTATACTTACGGTCATCAACTTTAGAAATATGAAGAATGGCCAGTCGACCATCCAGATCAACTAATGCCGACCTCATAATTAAACCACTACTCATACGATGTGAGCATTGTGATGAAAAGTCATTCGGAAAAGAAATAATATGGGTGCTCTCAGCACAAACATCAAATGCTGCTATATTCGCTGGACGTGAACTACCAAACTTCCAATTAAATGAATAGATAATACGATCAATTTGAACACTATGGAAGAAGTGATGGAAACAGCAATTAGCATGATAAAACTGGATGCATTCTATTTCCCTCCATGATTGATCCACTCCTAGAGTAAAAACCCATTGCCTCATCCAGCTATGAGTGATGGCAATGCCATTAACAATACGATTGCCGGATTCAGAATACCATACGGACTTCAAAAGCTTGTATTTTTTCAAGACTGGATCAAAAGCCAACCGCTCACAATTTGATTCAAGGAGACTGTTATTCACACATATTCTTGGAAGAGAAATTTGTTGTCTTGTACTAGGGTTGCAGATTACATCATCTCCTGAATTTGTGAGTAGCGAAATCAGGCCCTTGGCATATGTCCCTAAATGACTTTTTGGACATTCATCAAAATATCGCACACGGTTGGCCTTGAGAGTTCCTCGGGTTTCATCAGTGAAATTTATTGTATAATACACATGGGTCTGACGTGCTTTAGTTACAAAAGAGATGAGAATGCTCATCCCATGGCAAAGGGTCAAGGACCGTCTGTAATGAAGATCAGCAAACGAATCATCCCCAATAAGTAAACAAAATAATTTAGAAACACACCTCAGTTGTAATAAAGATTTTGACGGAAGCCGAGTGAGTATATCAATGAGGATCTCAAGTGGAAGTTTAAGAACAGTTGACGTGATCCTCTTCAACCCATTCATGTTTGAAAATCTTTCCAACTTCTATTTAGTGTGATTCAATGCCTGTGATGAAGAACAAACATTTGATAAGCATCTATGAAGTGTATGTTGAATAAATGAATAATACAACTACTACTTCAATTCACATGGAATTGACCTTAAAACTTAATGTTGGGCTTCGGCATTCGATTGCTTCTAGTGCAAAGGTAAGCGCTTTGATCCTACCCTTACTTATCTCTTTATTATTCTTGTATTGAGAAAAAGGTAGATCCAAACTTGTAGGCAAAGTAGCACGGAAGCGTGAAAAGGTAAAATTGACATGTAAAGAGTGTGCCTGTTCAACATGCCTTGCATATTAAAACTCATTAAGGCTCAATTCGCATCATTATGTTCTACAAAAGGAATGAGGGAAGTTCCAATAGAAAAACATTGGAAGGAAAAATACTAAGAAGATGAAATTGCTCCAATGCAATAGGAAGGAATTCTTGAACAACATCTAGCTAGAACAATATAATCATCTTCAATATTCTAATTCAAGGCCAACAAATTTCCTGCAGCTACCATTTAGTATTCATATTCAAAATTCGAAATTCGAAAAGTGGACTTCTAAATATCTTCAAAAATAATGAAGTACTACGTAATGTACAAATACTTGTATATATTAGGGTCAGAAAATACAACATGAAATCCGAGAAAGTATTACCTAGAGAGTGAAACATCCATGAATCCATCATAAATTAGCGGTCTTGTATAATAATTTACAAAGATGGAATAATATTGAACTTTTGATAGTCAACAAACTCAAACACTAATGAGTTAGGGTTCGAAATTAACCTGAATATCGAGAAAATTGGAGATTTGGGAACGAATCTAAAGCTCTCTCACTGGATCACCTCTTCCGGCTCCCGGTAGTCGCCGGCGCGCTTCAAATCGTCGATCTTCGCCGCTGAATTTTTATTTCTCTTGAGGCTTGAGCTTTTAGTTTCTTCTGTCCATTTGTCGGGATGTAGATGGGTCGCCCGGTGTTTTAGTTAGGGGGAGCTCTTCGGTGCATTCTGGTTTCAGAATGTTTTGGTACATTCTACAAGCGGCAAATTATAACCGGAAGACATTCCAAGTAAGAATTTTGTTTAGAATTTCATTTCAAAAAATTGCAAAGTGAACCCTGAAGAATAATTAAAAATGTATATACGTCTTTTTTCACATTTTGGATACTCGCATTTTTTCCTTCAAGAAATCCAATCGTCGTCTCCTTCATCTGATTTATATCTTCATCTCCACTTCTAACAGGAGTAACAACAATTGCCATAGAAATCCGATCGAGAATCTGGCCAGATCAAAAATCTGATTAAGATATAATTTATGAGCGTCTCCTCCTTCCTCGAGTAGCTGACGTGCACTTTGTCGTGTGTGCACTCAAAATAAATCAATACTAGCACTAATACGTAGCATAGTGAAGTAGAGTTCGTATCCACGGGGAAAGGAATAACTCTCTTTTTATAGAACTCGTAAATAAAGGGGAGGTTTTGATTGAGTGATTTAATTAATTTAAACACAAAGATGAACGACTTATGTGGTTTACTTAAAGATAAAAGGGACTTGGCATTGCTACTTTCCACTTGTTGATATATTTTAGTCGATCATTGTTATATCTATAACTTGTCTCCTCTCGAATACTCAATCGAGAAGTATATCCAATTCATCGAGGATAATTATTAACAACGACCGTTCATTAATAACCCTTACTATTAGCCAAGTATAGAACACCGCCATATACCGACTTCATAGTAGCATTTAATCGCTTAACTCCTTGATGAAATCAATTGAGATTGATAACCTCAACACAACGGTTTCGGTTTAACCAACACAATTAATTCCTCTTAAGTTTATTAACCACGACCGTGCATTAATAGACCGAAGTTACTTACTTGTGAAACCATCAACGATTAACCATCGGTTCGTTGATCGTTTCTAGTAATAATTAATATATGAAACAAAACTAGTTGATCCTTTAAGTAATGTTCAAAATATTAATATGAAATATGAATAGGAATTAATTAATACTCAAGGAAGAATATTAAAGAAGATGAATCCTACTATAGTTAATATCAAGATGTTAACTAATTGTCATCTTAGTAACACTCCCCAATATTAACATAGAGGAAGAAATAACTATTACTATAACTAATGTCAAGATGTTAACTAATTTTCATATTCAAGGAAAGAAGTTAAGAAAATAACTCACAACTTTAATAATCAACAAGCTTCAAGAGCAACGCCAAGAAATGGAAGTTTAGCTCCTCATTTGGAGACTAAACATGCTATAAAAATATAAAAGAAATACTATTCTAAACTGAGTTTAAGAGTTTAGAAGAAGGGATGATTATTTGTGAAGGAAAAGTGTGCTATTTATAGGCGTTTTTCAACACCTTGGGCCGGGTACCCGACCGGGTTAGGTCCCTACCCGACCGGGTCCAGTCAAAATCAGATATCCTCCACGTTCTGGTGATCTTCGGCACGTTCTGGTGTCCCGGGTCAAGTCTGACCCGACCGGGTCAAGTAGGGGACCCGACCGGGTCAAGTGACTTTCTCAGCAGCTTTTGATTTCTTGTCATGCCCGACCGGGTGAAGTATTGTACCCGGTCGGGTTCTTGCTTCTGGGCAGCTAAATCTTATTTTTCTTCACTTCAAAGTCCTCCTTTTCAACATCCTAATTCCTAACTCTACTTCACAACTTACAAATGAAGATTAAAATACAATTACAACTAAAATCACACAAATGTTTACAAACTAAATCATAAAATATAAAAACATACACTGCACTACTAATTAGTACATATCAGTAGTCGTCACCCAAATCGATCCAAATCCACACCCCTCTCTGCCGCAACTCGTCTGTCACCACATCTCGTCCGTCGCAGCCGCCGCCGTCAATCGTTCGACATCTTGCTGTTTCTCACTCGAAGTCTGCGCCGCCACCGCTCGTTTGACATCTGCCTCCACGTCTTGGTTGAATGGTCGAAGCCTGCTGCCGCTGTTCATTCATCGTCCGCTGTAGGAGGCCGGTGCCAGCTCTCTTCATCTCCACCTTAGCTTCTCTCAAGGTTAGTATCTATTAATTCCCATCATTGAGAAAATTGGGTGTATGTACACATTTTAATGTGTAACTTTAAGTTAATATCATGAGTTACTAAAAATAAACTAAATAGCCCTTAAGAAAACCCAAGATTAAGTTATGCCCCATATAACCTTATGACGGTTTCCTTCTCGAACTCTAACTATCCCGCTAAATCCGTACCTTCCTTCCTCAAAAGTTGGCACTGCACCTCTATGGAGAAAGCACTATATTCACTTTTAATTCTCAACCATTTTGATGTAAAACAATTCAAGTGAATCATATTTGCTCTTAGGGTCAAATGGATACGTAATACTTAAATATATTTGAAGTGGGTGTGCTTTAATATTTCCACTTTTGTCTCTGGGGGTTACTCACTTCCATAATTCCATTCTCATAAGTAGAAAAGACATAAAACAAAAAATATAGGGAGTATACATTTGATCATATGTAAAATTGGAATTATAGTGCTCCTTGAAAAAGTTCCTGACATTCCGGTAATAAATGGAGTTTTTAGTGCTTTTTGAATAAATTATTTGTATTGTTCTTTTAAAATCTAGGGTAGCAAAAGAGACTTTGAGTTTTTTCTACTTATTCTCCCATCGTGAATTTAGCCATTACGAAAACAAAATTGATCTGCGGTATAACATTGTAAGTTGTAACCAACTGTAATTAGGTTTGAGGATAGATACAGTATTTACATGTTTACCTATTTTATATTAGTAAGAAAAGCGTTATCTACTTCATTAAATAAAATAGATGCTATTGACTTCACTTGACCTATTTTTTATGGTTATGTAGCCATTTTTCCCAATCCCTTAATCATTTTAGTAAATTGTGTGTTAGTATGGTGAATTTTAATTTGAGAGGAATATTGATATTTGGTATTGATATTATTAGTGTTATTCATTGTTAATCTGAAGATGATAATTACATGAATTTGGCCTACATACACTAGTTTATGGATCCTATTCTTATTAAGTTGTGTAAAATACATAAAATTTTGGCCTATATACACATAAAAATATGACTGTAAGTAATTCATGTCTGTCTTATCTATAAACTTATAAAAAGATGATAATTTCAATTGTACAATTGTATGCCTATTCAACTTTAATGATGTGTAACTTATTTTTTTTATTGAGGCTGGTGTTCAATAAGGCCAAAAGCTCTAGGCAGTTGACTCGGACAGGTTCAATAAGGGATTAGAGGGTTACTAGGAATGAGTATAACACCTTGGAAGATTTCTAAATGGGTTTAGTCATTTCAACACTGCGATGATCTATATGGATTTGAAATGTAGTTAACAATTCTTGTTACTGTGCCTTATGAAATAAAGATACGCAACTATATGAAAGATTGATGGAAAATATCTCTGAACAAGGAACTGAAATTTGCCTTTTATTCAAAGATAGAGATAAATATGAATGTTTTTGTACACTTTCAGCGGAAAAGATTATGGCAGAATTGTAATTCATTTATTTAAGTACAGGGATCAAGCACATTCAAGCAAATAATCCAAATAATCTATGAAATGTTGAGTATATTTTAGGAACACAAGTGATCATTCATGAGTTGTAAAACTTTAGATCTTGATTGGGTTGACTAGGACTTAAAATGTTTTTTTATTATTCTTATCACTCAAATGTGACTTTTGTCTAGATAACATATGAAGTATTTGTTCAATATGTATAGTAGCTTCAGGCTTATCCAGGAGCTGTTGTTCAAGAAGGTGATTAAGAGGGAAACGTTTGTTGTGGTCTTGAACATGCAAGTTTACCTATCATTCATTGCGAATTGCTGCTGCGTGGTTGGACTTTTTGGTAGCGGGGAATGGAGGAGTTTAAAGGGGGAGATGAATGGTTTTGGGAAGGGGAAGGTGTCATATGTTATGACACTGGTTTGGATAGCTTTGTCATGGCAAGTATGTTCTGTTGGTTTTTTGGGATTAGTGTTTGAGATTTCTTCTTTGTTTTCCAACGTCATTAGTACAATTGGTTTGCCTTTTCTTCCTAATCTGGCTGTCATATTGTTTGGTGACAAGATGGATGGAGTTAAGTTCATTGCTTTGCTCCTTGCGCTATGGGGATTCCTCTCTTACCTTTATCAGCACCACCTTGATGATTCCAAACCACCTTCTGTAGTATACAGAGAAAGAATGACCAAATTATTATTTATTTTTTATACTAAATGGTAGGTATGTATTTACACCATCTTTCCCAATTATTCTTTCTATTTTCATTATTCTCAATTTGAATATACTTCTCCTCTTCTCAATTTCAAGATAACGAATTTAGAGTTGAAGTAAGAGCGCCGCATTGCAAAAAGGGGGCCAAGGGCAGTGATTCACGACTCTCTTCGGCAGACAAAAGCAACAAGGAATTGAAAAAGGACAACTTCCCAGTAATGCATCTCAGCAACGATAAATAGAAAGAAGGTGAGATTCAACCGTTAGATCGGCTTGTCATGGCATCAACAAATTCCTTTCCTTCTTCATCTATTCATTTTCGTCATGAATCTTCATCTGTATGTATTAGTTGCTGGAAAAAATCATATTAGTTTTTTGCCAGTTCATTCTCTTCGGTTTCATGAATTACACTAGTTTTTCCCTAAGTTTAATATTATGAACTTATACCAGATACATGGGTACATGCATGTGAATTTTTTTTCCCTGCTTAAATTGATACAACTTAGTTAAGCCATGAATTTATTTCAATTACAAATTTTGATCATTTTTTTTATTTGAAGATTTCAGCAAGAATTTATAGGTTGCTTCCGCTCTGCATTTCTCCTCAGCCATGGAAAACGTTACCTTCCTGCGTCCTGTGGTGCATGTTTGAAACAGAAAAGGTAATTTTGTTTGCATGCTTTACTTATAAATCATTAATGTAGCTAGAGCTGAACAAATCCTTTAACCATAAATAAGAGAGTAAGAGTTGACTGGAGTGGACATTGACTTACTGAATAAGGAGAAATGAAATAGACCTATTTAATTCAAGTCATTTAAAAAATACTACGGGTAAAACATATCGGGTTTCCTTTTATGAAGCTATAGATTTTTTGTTCATCTATATTAACTCGCTGCTAGACTTTGGCTCTTTATTTCTTATCATTTCTTCTAAACTCGGAGTTTTTATCATGATTCGCGTCTGGTGTTGTCCGAAAGAAGGATGTTTATAGTAAAAGTGTAAGAAGGATGTATTCCCAAAATGTATCAGACTAATGTGGCATTTTATTAGACAACTTTTTTCTGTGTTCTATTTCTGAAGTATCTTATTTATTAATTTTCCAATTAACCTCATTTTGTATTCTATTTGAGGTTGAGCATGTATAGGGAAATCTACACTTTTTATTCAATAAATAGGCGGTGTATTTCCTGTCACTCACCCCAAAACCCTCGGGTTTTGGATTACAAAGCTGGTAAAAAAAATGTATTGGAAAATCTATACATTCTTTAATACTAAACATATTTGAAATAACTTTTTGTTCCAAAAGTGGGCTGTCTTTCTCCTTGCAAACTGCAAAACCTATAATAACAAGCATGTTGCCCGTGTTTCCTGGTTCTATGTGAAAGAAAAGAAAGAAGTTCGTAAAGTGACTCAAGAACATAGCCCACCATAGTGTTAGTAGAATATGGCAGTCATGCGAGTGAAATTCAGCTTTGGCAACCTCCAACTTGATTAAACATAGCATTTAATAGAAAGTAAGTTATATGACTAAAGGTACACAACTATAAATCTTGAAACTTTAGTCATGAATGAAGACTGTTTCTTAAGATTTAATCTTATAAAATTAAAAGATGACTTTTAAGATCTAATTAATCTTAGTTAGAAGTATTAGGCATTTGTAACTTTTAACTTTTACTGGTTATGTATTATGTGTTCCAATTTTTAAACTTAACCATTTAGTGCTTCATATCATAACTTAGGGAGAAGGGTGACTATCTGGAATAGTATGATTTTAGGATTCACGCTCAGATGATTGTTATGATTTCGCATGCTCTACTTCACATGCTCAATTAGAAGTCTAGGGCCTAATTGAACCACTAAGTTAAATTAATCTTGTTTATTTTGAAAATAAACTAAGCTTCAAACATGGTAACAACAACTCCGTAATTTGTATGTCCTTATTTGTACATAAGTCAAACGGAAATAGTACACTAACATTACCTGATCTACGGAGAAAGGTAAATATTAGTATGAAGTCTTTTGAATTGCTAGATTCTTTAATAGTATACACTTGGGATTTTGAAGGTCTCTCTATAGGAAAGTTCTAGTGATCAGAATAATATTAGGTTGTACCTATGTTGTTTCTAATATTGTTTTATTACTTGCTCCAGACACATGGAGGCTTGTCAACAGATGTCGAATAAGAGTTTGAGTCACAAGATGGCCGGAATATGTAACATATGAAGAAGTCATTTATAGTTGGATCAGGATTTGAAGATTTTGTACTTGAGACAGAAGATGATTCTACTTTGACAATGATAATGATGATGACGAAGAGTTGCAACAGTGAGAAGAAAATAACAGAGATGGTCATCGCTAATCTTGATTTCTGGATATAGCCCCGAATTAAATAAAGCAACCCGAAATTGAAAGAAGAAAAAAGCGGAGGAAAGAATTAAAAAGCACGGGCAGAAGAGAAAGGAGATGCGTGAGAAGAAAGATCAGGGAGTGGGAAATGATGGAATGACATGAAAGGGTTGGGGCTGGGGTAGGAAATGGTGGAATGACATGAAAGGGTTGGGGCTGGGGTAATTTGGGTGGAGAGGGTGATGACAGCTGAAAGTGTTGCATTTAATTGCAAGACTGCCAAAAAGGAAAGTGTTACATTTAAAAAAGAATGAAAGAAGTACATTGTTTAAAGCAATAATTACACAAATATGACCAAAATAAAGATGATTTACAAAAATATGACTAGTTACTAGAGTAGTAATGAAATCATAGTAATTCATATTCAAGTTTTGAACTTAAGTTACCACAACACTACGTTGTAGTAATCAATATTCATATTTATGTAAATAAGTTTTATTTTAGTAATATTCTTGTAAAAAACCCTTGTTTAAATTAAATATATAAAAAATAAATAATATTGATATTTTTTGGATGTATGTGGGTTTTAAGACCCCGTGGGACCCTTAGTAGGCCCGCCACTGCACATATATACGGAGTATTACATAGTACTCCTTCCGTCCCAAATTGATTGCAAATTTGACTTTCTTGAATCAAACAGTTTCATTTTAATGACTTAATTAAAATATGAATTCTTAATTAAATTGGAATTTGGATTTTGCAACTTTATGGAGATTTAAATTTAGTTCTAAATTACTAAAATTAATTTATTTATCAATAGGGAAAATTTAACTTTAACATTAGTTCACAAAAAATGTTGACTTTGCAAAACAAATTGGGACGAATGTAGTATATATTTTATATATTGGGAAAAGGAGCAAATAAGCCCTCACACTTTTAAAAATAGTGCAAATCACCCCTTACATAGGAGATTCTATCTGGCCGCCATTTCGGGAAGTTCTCGGTGGAATATTTTGATGAAATGTTTTGAGCATCTTCTTCCTTAAGTCTAGTTTATTCATACCAAATTTCAGCTAAAAATATAACCGGGAAGATAGTCAAATGATTTTCTGAAATATACTATATTGTTTAAATGCGCAGTTATCTTCAAAAATTCATTTGATAAGAGGAGTAGTTCATATCTTAATATATTTTCAAAATTATGATGAACTCTTCCTACAATAATGTACACATACAATGTATTTACGCCGAATTATTTCGCTGATTAATAGTATCTGCAAACCATCTCCAAACAATAGGTTTAAGGTTCATTCAAATCGTAAATATTTCTATGAAATTATGTTTCAATGATACTGAATTCATTTTTTTCAAGTATGGGCTTACCTATTCTTAAACCTCGCTGTTCATTTTCTCAAATCTGAGTATTGTTTCAATCCAATATAAATTGTAAACGGCTGTTATTTCGTATGATTTTCTATTTACAATGAATTTATGTGTCATTATCATTTTACATGTTATCGGCCGTCATAAAAAAACACACTAACACAATCCCTGGGAAATTAGAGCGATGTTATCTGATTTGAAGGTAGGTTTATAAAATTTACCTGAAATATAGTTTGATAAAGACACTCTCCTTGGCTTGACTATTCATAAAATTAATAATGATAAAACTAATGGTGTACATCTAAAGGGAGAAATACGCCCATTTAAAAACTAATAATTTTGAAATTGTCTTTTGAATCAATATTTTATAACAAAAGATACAACTTCAGTTATTAACATTGCATAATTTTTAAAACATTTTACAAGAATTTGGTTAGAGGTGAAAGTTTGCATCTTAACCCTCGATTGTCCAAGAGATTAGACAAAAAACAGATTATGTTTCTTGATTATTCATTTGCCCAATAACTTGTTTTTGTTTTTGGAAAATCCCCAATAACTACTTAACTCTGTTTTTAACTCTGTTCAAGAGTTTTTTAATGGCGTGATATTTGACATTTCATCTATTACCTCAGTTCTTAATGTTGGATATTAGTCATTTTAACATTTTTGGTCTACTCTGCATATGACGATATGAATCGATTTCAGTGCACTTTGATGAGATTCTAAAGATAGATTCAAATATTTATTACCCAATCATACATTCGGGTTAAAAATAATTTCTCTCACCCAATCATAGTATTGACCCATTGATAGGCGGAGTCTCGACTACGTATAACATTAGGAGAGATTCTATTATGACGACTTGAACATTTGAAAGATTTTTTGTTTACCCGTTGTGTGATGAACGTCCAAGTTGATATTGGATGTAGTCAAATTAAACAAGAAATTGTTTTTTTTATCATAAGAAATTGTTGAAATGGTAATTAAATATTCAGAGCCATTAACTGATAAGATACACATGCATGGCATGCATGCGTGTGCATGGCATACGTTTTATACGTATGACTTTATTCCCATCATATTTAATCAATTGTAATATAATGTAAATATTATCTCCTTAGCTATAGTTGTGCATATAGTTGGGATATGATTAGCTTCCCGTATTTCAAGCCTATACGGCACTGCACCTAGACTATTAGCTGGATAGCTTTTGTATCGGATAGGAATTTACTTAGCGTATAGCATGCAACTGCATATGATGTATTTGACTATTTATATCTTGGAAATAATACGAAACACGACGGGGGAATTTTCCCAGACTTTAACTTGGTATCAGACGCCTTATTTTTTCCTTCTCCATCCTCTTTCATGGCTTCTTCCAAATCCTCTTTTCACCCGGCTTTGGCCATATCCAACATCAAAAACTTTATCCCCATCACACTAGATCTCGAAAATTGCGATTATGCTTCTTGGACAGAATTGTTTAAAATCACGGCCCGCGCTTACCAGGTGCTTGACCACATCGTCCCTTCCACCGACGATGCCTCATCCGCCACCGTCTCCCCCGACTCTTCTCTCACACTTGAACAACGTCAAGCTCGTGACGCAGCCAAGGCCGAGGCCGATGCTTTATGGTCTCGTCTCGATGCCGTGGTTTTGCAATGGATCTACGGGACCATTTCCCATGACCTTTTGCACACCATCATCGAGGTCGATTCCACCGCCCAAGACGCATGGGATTCTCTCACCGATTTGTTCCAAGATAATAAGCACTCGCGTGCTGTTTATTTGGAAAACGAATTTTCCAACACAAAGCTTGATCAATTTCCGGACGTCGCTGCATTTTGTCGAGCGCTGAAAGGTCTTTCCACCAAGCTTAAGAACGTCGGTGCCAAGGTCGACAATGATCGCCTTGTTCTGCGCATGGTCAACGGGCTGTCCTCCGTTTCAGGCTTTGATACAGTGGCCTCGTTGATTCAGCAGAAGGAGCCTCTTCCTCCTTTTTCTAAGGCCCGCTCGATGGTAATACTTGAGGAGTCCCGCCGCAATCAATCAAACTCCTCCGCCACCGCACTTATTCATACTGGCGATGTCACACCGGCATCACCCTCCTCATCTCGTGGAGGCCGTGGAGGATCACATCGCGGTGGGCGAGGCCGCTCTTCTTCTCAACGCGGCGGTGGGCGCGGCCGGCAGCCGGCACGTGTGGAACCCACTCCATCTCCCGGACAGTGGCCCCCACCCCCTCCTTGGGCCTACTGGTTACCGCAACCGGCTTGGGGTGCCCCTCCATGCCCGTACCCAGGACTGCCTTGGAACGGTCAGCCCGTTCCTCGTCCCTCTGGAGCTGGTATATTGGGACCTCGTCCGCAGCAGGTCCACATGGCAGAAACTACACCAACTGAATTGGCATCATCTATGCCTACGATGAACTTATCTCCCCCTGGTGATACATGGTATATGGATACCGGGGCCACATCTCATATGACGGCCCATCCAGGTTCTCTCCTCTCTTTTTCTAATTTAAGCACTAAGAGCAAAATCCAAGTTGGTAATGGCAATACCATGCCGGTTTCCGGTTTCGGGCATACCGCTCTTCCACCCCCCAACCCCCCTCTCACCCTTAAAAATGTCTTAGTTGCCCCTTGATAGACGTTATATTTACTTGTGTTTAACATAAGTATTTATAAGTATTTGTTGAAGAAAAGAAGAGAAATCGGACAAATACCTTCAGAATGAGAGCTAAGGCATAAAACATTGTGATGAACGGTTTTTTAGACCAAGAGGATGACGTTCTGCCCATAATTTGAGCATAACGTATTGTAGAGAACTCGAAATCACTCGATTCGAGTTTCATGTGAATGCTAACTCAATAAGGAACAAATGTTATGAAGACGTCATGGCCAAAATATGAAAGAAACAAGACTCAATCAACCAACAAAGTCAGATGTTGCTGGTGGGATTTCAGGATGCATACCTCTCAGTGTTTTAGCCATAACGTTTGATTGGATGAATAAAATCACGTCAATCAAGTTTTGGTGGATAGAAGACTTCATTATCTACAACTTTGGTTAAGGAATCATGTCCAAATTCGTAGCGGAACATCCCCAAAATCCCGGGACAAAAACCGACACTTTTTGATCAATTTCGGAAGAAGAGAAAGGAAGCGCATTTTTGGGCGCTGCAACCGGCGCCGGTCAGCCTATAACCGGCGCCGGTTGGAAGGTTTTTTCGCACTTAACGAGCCTGTTTGCGACCGGGGCCGGTTCTAGACTGACCGGGGCCGGTTGGGACGATTTCAGCTCAAACAAAAGGTCGTGCAAGAGGATTTTTGATGAGAAAACTTCACCTTCCTCATCTCTTGATCAAATATTGCTCCATACCTGATTGTTGGGCTCGAATAGACTAAAAGATGTCATTCTTTAGCCTATATAAAGCGCTCAATTCATCAAACATAAACATTCCATTCCATAGATTAATTCTTAGTCTTTATACTTTGTTTTTGCTATTGTTCTTCAAGTTCTTGAGGAGGAAACTTCAACCTCCGAAACCATTGGTGTTTAGGTATTATTTCCTTTGTAATTTCATGTTCCATTACATTTCAATATTGTATTGTGATTAATATGGGCATTAGAGGCTAATTTCTTAGCTAAGGCTAGGGATGAACCTCTATGCACACTAGGTGTTTGATAAAAGTTCTAAACCAATAAATTGTGATTTATCCTTTACATTTTGATTGTTTATGACTATGGTGTACAACATAGAAGTATGTTAAATTTAGTTTATGCTTTCAATTAACGTTGAAGTCTAAACTATGAA